ACTCGAATGCTTTTGAAGTGGGACTTCAAAAAATACTATGTATGCAACTTCTCCAAACACCTACTGGACAGCATATGGCAGCACCCAATTTTCAATGTGTCATGTATTAACAAAGCCCTCTACACAAAAAGTAAAGAATTGGACAGGGTCAGGGTAAGTGTAGCCTTTTTTTTTATTGGGAATTTGTGGATCTGAGACACTTGGGAAAAACTGCTTAGCACAGGTTGTCCTTTGCTGTATGCATATATGGGAAGGAGGCAGAGTTGATTTCTCTGCACTTAGACTTGTCCCATCATTGCTTCTGGGACTTTCCCTCTCTCCCCTCAGGTAAAGGGGGAGGAAGGAGAAGTTGTGAATATATGGCAGAGGGCTTATTTCACCCCTTGTCCTTGGGGTGTGTTTCCTTTTTGGTTCCAGTTTTGGTTCATGGGGAGAAGCTGGACTTCTGCAGTGAATACTTAGCTCTGCTTGGCAATTGGCTGTTGGAAAGCTACAGAAGTTTTGAATGAGACCTTAATTTTGTGAGCCATCAGAGCAAACACCCTTAGCTCGTCGAAGGGCTGCATCTCCTGCAGCTTGAGGAAGGGTGCTCTGGTGAAGAGTCAAGTTGCTATGCACTCATTCCTGGCTGAGGAGACACTTGTCTGTTGATACACAGGTTTGGGTCTGGGTGTGCTGACATGAAGCCGTTTGAAAGGTTAGGAATTGCTTCCTTTGTCAGTGAATAAAAGTAGTCTTTGCCTTCCTTGGACTTCCATGCATTTGAAGATCAGTTGAATTCTGTGCTAAGTGTGAAGTTCCTATTTTTAGGTGTGGCTTGACAAAGGTTGCAGGCTCAAAAAGTGGTGTTCCTCCCTTAAAAATATATAAATACAATTGTTTTTCATTTAAAAATCGTTGTTTTTTTCCTTTATCTTTTAGGAAGTGCAAGAACAACTTTTTTATTTAAAAAAGCTTTTGAAAACCTGCAGGTTTGGTGAAAGGTATGGGCCACCATGATTGTGCATTAAAAATACCCTGTTAAAATGTATGTAAGGTACTTCTAGAGGCTTCTTCTTTAGAGACATTTAAATGCATTTTTAAATGAGCTACTGTGATCTTTTAAGAAGATTCTGATAATAGAACTTTCTTCTACTGCACTGCAAATTTTGACTGAAGAACAGCTTTTATGTGGCAGCTTTGTGTTTCTCAACTTCCTTAGACAGTTGGGTTTAAATGTTGATCATTGTTAGGTGTATATTTTTTCCTATTTTGTCCCTCTTAGGTTGTCACTAGTTCTTAAAAGGTCAAGGGTATTTCTGTACATCTGAGATGATTAGTCTTAAGCGTTTTTTTGAGGGTTTAAAGAATTCTTCCAGAAATCTTTCATCATGCTCAATTTGGTTTATTTTATAACCAAAGTAAAAGTAGTAACCAGATGTATCTAAAAACATAAGAAGGTATAAAGGTGACCTTGTTTGTTCCTGAAAATTAAGAGTTTTTTGGTATTCATCTCACCACAATATGGGCATAACTAGTGGTTAGACATATGTATGATAAAACCTTCACCACAGAATCACTGACCTTTTAAAAAAAGTCATAAACAAAATGATTTTTAAAAGTAGTTTCTGTTCTCTTTAACATGGACCTCTTTAAGAAAATAAGTGGTTCTGTGCTGGTCACCAAAACTAAATAGATACATATATTAATGTCTGTCTTCTGCATGACCACTTGTGATTCCATTATAGATATCAGTATTAAGATCCCCATTGTACCTTCTGTGTATGTGACAGATTTCAAAAGTAATAGCTATGATTTCAGTGTTAACCTGCTCAGATCAAGCATAGTTTCCCTCAATAGTGACCTATGCAGGATAAAAACCCTCAAAGATCTCTTTACACAAAAAAAAGTGAGTAATTGTAGCTTATTAGCATTAGTTAATGTATCAGATGTTACCTACTGTTTCTGAGATAGGAGAGAGGGACCTTTACCTGTTGTTTGAGAATTGCTGGGATAACTGCACATGGCAACTCCAATGTTGGAATAATGAACATTTAAAACAGATATTCTAAATCCCAAGCTCTCCAGTTTTTCTTAATGTGATCTCAAATTGGGAGGGGAGGTAGGATTTAGGATGAATCCTGGATGACTTGAAATAGGTTTATGCTTCACATTCACTTGTCAGACAGTTTTTGTAACTTGGTTTGTTTTTTCTTTCTCTTTCCAGTGTACTGAAAGAATTTGAACAGGTCCCCAGCCATTTGACAGAGGAGCTGCATCTCTTCTCACTGGATGATCTGGTGAAGATCAAACGAGGGCAGTTACTGCCCCTTCTTAAAGACATTCTGAAGAGCTCCACCTCCCATGTGGATGGTTGTGAGGTAAGGAAGAGCCAGGGCTCCTAGCGTCCTCACAGCTGCTAGTGTGGAGAAACATCCCTGCTGACGCTCCCAAATATTTGTTACATCAATTAAAAGTAAATCCACTCTCTTTCTGTTCTTGTAGCTCTGTCAGGCTAAGGGTTTCATCTGTGAATTCTGTCAGAGTGCAGATCTGCTCTTTCCATACCAGACTGCTAAATGCAAAAGATGCACAGGTATGTTCCAGACCAAGCTTCTTTCTTTCTTTTTCCTTGCGGGAATGTTGGTGTTTAAAACTGTTCAGACTAATTTTAGGAAAACACTGAAAAGTTGTTTCACTGAAAGCACGTGTGGAGATCTGCATGTGTATTTGATATCTGTGGATAGCATGTATCTTTGAAAACCAGGCTGTGGCAGCTGTCTCGCAGCAGCGAATTCAGAGAACAAAACCAGGGACTTGCTTAAACATAATGATGGCTGCAGGGGGGTGCTATATTTCTGGGTCTGTGCATGAGAGTAAGCCTGGGACAGTGCTGTACTGCTGCTCTTGCTGACATTCATTGTAAATCCTGGGAATCTTACCAAAATGTTTAGTCATAGTTACAACAGTGGTGGTGGTTGTCCCAGCCTTGCACTGCTTCTGTTTACTTTTATACTTGGGTGAACTAAATAGGACATCCTTCAATGAGCACAGCTATTGATTCATTTTTTAATTGGTTGGTTGGTTGGTTTGTTTGCTTTCTGAATGTTAAACTGCTTGTATGTATAAACAGAGTGCAAAACATGCTTTCACAAAGCATGCTTCAAGTCTGGAGGCTGCCCCAAATGCCTGCGGATTGCAGCTAGGAGGACACCTTCAGAAACTCCATCGGTGGTGCCGTCGTGAAACCAGATGCCTCTGACTGCTGATTTCAGTAGATGCTCTAAGCCAAATCTTCAGGTGCCTGACTAAGAGTTAAATAATGTTGTTTTAGACATTACTATTTTTAACACATGTCTCCTTTATGGAGGGGTGGAAGAAAAAGAAGACTTTAATATAATCGAAAACTCATGCTGAAGGAGTGTCATCTTAACTGGTGACAGAGACCGGTTGTCAATTCTGTGAGCAGCCTTTTGTTGCTATGTTTTGTCCTTGTATGTAAGATTTTTATTATTATATTTTTCCATATAAAAATTATTCTTCTCTGTAATTCTGCAAATAATGTATAGATAGTAAATGAGTGTTGGAAATCCTTATTTGTGTCAGATTTTGGAAATGGTGAAAAAATGTTTAAGTATGAAATAATTCTCTCAAAAACTCTGCAATATAAAAAGCTGGTCTGTAAGCTTTAGGCAAATGATGATCTGAAATTTTGTTCTGGCAATTGTTTAATTTGAACCAGTGGATTTAAAGTTTCTTTTAAAGACACATATGCAACAGCTTGTGATGGGTTGACCTTGGCCTGCTGCTAGATGCCCACCCAGCTGCTCTCTCACTCCCCCTCCTCAACAGGACAGAGGGAGAAAATAAGATGGAACGAGTTTTTAAGTCAAGGTGAAGCCATGGAGATCACTTACCAACTACTGTCACAAGCAAAACAGACTTGAATTGGGGAAAACCAGAATTATTGCCAATTAGAAGTTGAGTAGTGTGGTGAGAAACAAAGATGAAAACTAAACCAACTTCCCCCTTACCTCACCTACCCTTTTACCCAGGCTCAACTTCACTTCTTCATTCCCAGCTCTTCTACCTTCTTCTCTGCCCCAAGTGGTGCAGGCGGATGGGGAATGGGGTTGTGGTAAGCTCTAACAGTTCCTCTCTGTTACTTCTTCCTTCTCATGCTGTTTCCCTGCTCCAGTGTGGGGCCTTCAGGATAAACCTGCTCCTACGTGGCCTCTCCAGCAGACAGAGTTCCTTCGGGAAATACCCATGAGCTGCAGGGGAATGTGCGCTGGTGCCTGGAGCATCTCTCGCCCCCTCCTTCTTCACTGACTTTGATGTTTGTACTGATGTTTCTTACTCTCTGCCTGTGTAGTGTTTTGCTCTTTCTTAAAACACATTTTGTCAGAGGTACCACCATCTTGGCTGAGGTGCTCAGCTGTGTCCTGCAATGAGTCCATCTGGAGCTGGTTGTAAGCAGTTGTCTGGCCCAGGGCAGCCTCTTCACACAGAGGCTGCCCTGCAGCTCCTCCTGCCATCACCTTGCCACCCACAGCCTGTACACTGCTCCACAAGTTTCTTTCTAGAGCATTTAGAAATGTAAGGAGAGGCAGTGAGTGGGCAGGATGCTCCTGTGTAAATCTACTCTCAGACTTGTAGACTGAGTCCTTGCCTAAAGGTGAAGTGCTGGAAGTTGAAAGCAGCATTCTTTCCCAGCCTGGTTGGTTACTTCTGAGGAAACCAGCTGAGGAAGCAGCCTCTGACTGCAGAAACCCAGAGCAGCTGCTTGAACCTGTAAAACCATTTTTCTATTTGTGCCACATGTGAAGTATCACTGAACACCAAAACCCCAGAACCTGAAAACACATACCAAACACACACCATTCTGATCTCTCCAGTGGGGTGCTCTTAATGTTTTGAATTAGTTGTTCTCATTTTGTGTTTTGCTCTCTCTCTCTCTCACCTGCTGGCTCCAGCTTTTAGCAAGGAAAAGATCAGCTGTCTTGTTACCAGGGTTTGTGAAGTTCACCTCCACGCTAGTGCTCTCAGTACTAGTAAGCTCCCTAACTCTTCCACTTAGCTATTTTTTCTGTGGCCAAAACCAGCTTACCTACTTACTGCTCAGAAGCAAGATTATCATCTCTTACTCGAGATCACCAAACGGATACTGACTTAGGGTAAGATGTGGTGAGAAGGGACCTGCTTATGCAGCTGACTGTATTTAATGTTATGCAAGAGTAAATTCTCATTGAAGTTAGGTGCACGACTAACTGAATCACATGAAAGGCCTTGCTGTAGGGATTTTCTGCTTATAAAGTAGCTCACTTGAATAATCCTTTTGTAGGATAACCTGCAGGGCAACTGAATACATTTTTTTTTTCATTATTCATTAATTTAGCAGAGCTGGTCTGGTGTCTGGCTGGGCTTTTCACAGATGTTCAAGTCTTGCTAAACAGTAGTGGTATGCAGGAGGGAGTGTCAGAGAGTGTCAGAGTGAGTTTCATGCATCGTGTTGATAATTTACATCCATTCAGTTCAGCCCTTATCTCCATAAAGCCTGTACAGCTTAACCTAATTACTGCTACATACCACAATCTGTATCACAGCAAGAGAAAATCCTCAATGTGTTTGGGTAGCTGGTGGAAAGTGGAAGAGCCAAGAAGACCAACAGGCCTAGAATCCAGGTAAAACTAGTAACAATGTTACTGCTATCCCCCTATAGTGTAAAGCAACCACAATTAAACTGAAAGCACATACTGGATCTCTGTGTATTTGGTGATAAAGTGGCTTGGACAGGAATCAGAGAATCATAGAATGCTAGGCTGGAAGGGACTTCAAGGATCATCTGGTCCAACCTTTCTAGGTACTACTATAGTTTATATGAGATGGCTCAGCACCCTGTCAAGCTGAGACATAAAACTGTCCAAAGTGGGAGAATCTACCACTTCCCATGGAAGACTATTCCAATGTTTGATGACTCCTCATGGTGAAAGACTTACCCCTTGTTTCTAATCAGAATCTCCCCAGGAGCAACTTGTGCCCATTACCCCTTGTCTGTTCCACGTGACTCCTTGTAAACAGAGAGGCTCCATCTTCTCAGTAGCCACCCTTTAACTACTGGAACATGGTAATAAGGTCTCCCCAAAGCCTTCTCTTCTCAAGGCTGAACAAACCCAGTTCTCAGCCTCTCCTCATGTGACAGGTTCTCCAGTCCTCTGATCATCCTTGTGGCCCTTCTCTGGCCCCTCTCCAGCCTCTCTGCATCTTTTTTGTAGAGCAGGGACCAGAACTGAATTCAATACTCCAGGTGTGGTCTGACAAGCGCCAAGTAGAGTGGGATGATGACTTCTTTGTCTCTGCTGGTGATGCCCTGGTTGATGCAGCCCAGCACCCTGTTGGCTTTCTTTGCCACTGCAGCAGCACACTGCTCACTCCTGTTGAGCCTGTTATCCACTAAGACCCCCAGGTACCTTTCCACAGGGCTGCTCTCCAGCCAGGTAGATCCCAGTCTCAACTGTACTCCTGGGTTATGTGTTCCCAGGTACAAGACCCTACACTTCTCCCCGTTGAACTTCACAAGGTTCCTGCTAGCCCAATCCTCTTGTCTGTCCAGGTCATCCTGGAGGGTGGCTCTCTCTTCTGGAGGGTCAGCCCCCCCACTCATGTTGATGTCATCAGCAAACTTCATCTGAGTGCTCTTGATCCCAACATCCAGGTCACTTACGAAGATGTTGAAGAGCCTTGGGCCCAGTATCAATCCCTGGGGGACCCCTTTTGTGGCCGGTTGTCACTTTTGAGGAGAAACTATTTACTGTCATCCTCTGGGTATGGTGTGTCAGCCAGTTCCCCACCCACCACAGAGACTATTTGTCAAGGACAAGGTGAAGGCAGTATTAAGGTGATACTGTTTAAAAGCACATCCCCACTGCTCCAAAGTCTAGTTCCCCACCCACCACACAGACCACTTGTCAAGGCCATAACAAGTCAGTTTCTCTAGGAGGAGGCTGTGGGGTACCGTGTCAAAAGCCTTGGAGAACTCCAGATAGACAATGCCCACCACTTCCCCTGCATCAATCAAGAGGGCCACTTTGTCGTAGAAGGTGATCAGGTTTGTCAAGCACGATTTGCCCCTGGTAAGTGTTTTATGAGAAATGGTATTTTGTCTGGTTTTTCACACAGAGTACACAAATACCTTCAGCAGAAATCTTTCACTTTTGATGTAGCTATTTTCATGTTTTTAATTTTTTTTAAAGGAAATTTACCACCATTTCCTCACATTTACTCTGGGACTGCTGCTTGATACAGCTGCCTTTCAGGCCAGCAATCTAAATACTCTGAAAAACACCTGAAGATCTCTGGTATGTCTCTAAGATACCAGTTGTACTTAAGTGATTCAGCATTGCCATAATCATTGGTATCACTTGGTTTAGAGTATTTGCCCTCCCTTGCTGTTTTTTGATCACACATTGCATATCTGTCTGACCACAGACTGGAAAGTCTTCCAAAGATTGCAAAACCAGCAGGTCATTAAGGGAAATCTAATCCCCAAAGGAGGGAAAGGAGAAGTAGGGAATAGATTTACAAGAAAGGCTTGAGCAGCATATGCTTTAACGGAGTGTGGAGATTGCTGAGCAAGACTGGCAGCAGTAAAAGATGCTCTGCACTGAATAAATCATCCATCGTGTCTACAAAGGTTGATGATTTGACTAGATTAAAAATCATAGAATCATGGAATGGTTTGATTTGGAAGGGACTTTAAATAAGATCTAGTTTCAACTCTTCTGCTATGGACAGAGACAGTTTCCACTACAGCAGGTTGCTCCAATTGCAGGTTAAATCTGTTAGCAGTAAATTCAACTTGCCAGGACTGTTCTCTGGTACTGAGGGCAGGTGCTGCAAGATGGGCCAAGTTCCAATACTCCATAGTTTTGTTCACTGTGGGGTTGCCAAATCCAGTGTGCCTGTTGTGAATGGCCCCATGTCCATGCTAGCACCTGATCTGTATTTGCTGTCATGGGCCAGAAATGTGCCTGGTTTAGTCTGAACAGTTTGCCAGTGTAGATGTATGTCATCCTATTTAAAAGAAATCTGTACAGCTGCCATTGTTTGGTGTAACCAGTCATATGCTCAGTTAAGTTCACAGTTTGGTAGCTGCTGATTTCTCACTTTGCACAAAATGATGGCATCTCCCTGCATTTATTTTTCCCCACCAAACTGCTGAAGGTTTTGAATTTTGGGGCTTTTGA